GAGAACTGTGGTGGCTCCCCTTGGGCTCGGCGTGGGGGAGGCAGGGGCTGCTGGAGGCAGCGGGCCCCGCGGTGCTTAGGGCTGGGAAGCAGCAAGGCAGTGAGCTGTACAGGACACGTGCCGATGGCGCGCTGGGGAAGGGCACATGGCATTAGAGCAGGGAGTGGGCCACGGAGGGGGAGGGGCAGCCCCAAAGTCAGAGATGCCTGCTGCTGCCAGGACTGAGTTTGTGCCGATCAGCCCTGCTGGGCAGGCGCCGCGCTACACTGGGGCTGTGAGCTTTGGCCTGATGCCACGTGCCACGGGCTGCAGGGATCTGTTACCATTGGTCTGTAGAATGTCCTGGGGTCCATGCCCAGTGATGCGAGGGAGCGTGGTATAGTGGTTAGACAAAGGGGCTAATCCCCGATACGAGTGCTTAGAGTAGGGGGCTCCTGGGCTCTCATCCTGCCTCTGTGGCCGGAGAGGTGTCTCGTGATGGGGGCAGGGCATGCTGGGCTCTCTTGCCAGCCCTCTCACCGACTCTGTCAGGCGTGGACACTTCCTTGCTTTGGCTTTCAATTTCCTTCTCTCTGGCCTGGCCAGTGACGCTGGCGTGCCCTGGGCGTGTGTGTGAACGTGGCTGGAGGGCTGAGCTCCAGGTGGGCAGAGCCACGGAGGGGCCAGTTTGCCACATGGTTCCTCAAGGCATCAAGCAGCATGGAACACTGGTGGGTTCTCTATGGTCTCCCCACACTGACTAATGGGCCCAGCTAGCCCCTCGGGAGCCAGGCAATAGAACAGGGACTGTCCCATCCTGATGCTGACTCCTCTCCCGCTGCCGCTTGTCACACCAAGGCTGTCTCAGGGCTGGTTCAGAGCCAGCGGCAGGTCTGGCCACTCACTTCCCAGGGGAAAGGGGCCAGCACCCGCTCCCAGGACTGCATTCTCTGAGGAGTCGCTGCTCATCTCTGGGTATGTCTACAATGCAGAGCTTTCCCGGAAAAACTACACTTCTGTCCACGCTGCTATTGCGTTCTTCTGACAGAAAGTCGAAAGAACGGAGGGGTTTTTCCAACAGCGGTAAACCTCTTTCTACGAGGAAGAAGCCTTTTTCGGAAGAGTGTTTTTTCGAAAGAAGAAGCCTCCAGGGGGAAGCACAGGGGCCCTGGTGGCCACTCCATCCACAGCCATCACAACTGAAATCGGGACAGCACCCAGTGCGTGTGGACGCTCTCTTTCAAAAAAGCAGATCGCTTTTCTGTGCGCGTTTGCTGTGTAGACACTCTCTTTTGAATTAAGATCTTCTGGAAAAGCTTCTTTTGAAAGAAGGCTGCAGTCTAGACATAGCCTCTGGGGCCAGCAGGAGAGAAGGCAGCACCAGCATTGCCTAGGTAAGTGCTCAGTGCCCTTCCCCCAGCCATGGGTGCTGGGTGCGGGAGAGCATCTCTCCAAATACACGCCCTTTTACCAGCAGTGTAAGTGCTTGGCATGTGGCTGCCCTGCTCAGGGTGAGGAGGCTGCCCAGCCCTTGGAGCCATTGAATTGTGCCTGGACGTCTCTTTCTAAGAGCTCCTCTATCCTGCAAGGCAAACCCTGGCTCCATGGCTCAGGGCCCGGCTCAGCTGACGCAGACTCATGGGGCTTGGGCTGGGAGGCTAACAGCAGCATAGAGGCTGGAGCATGGGCTCTTAGACTCACCCTACATGGAGATCAGACCCTGGGCTCCAGCCCCAGCCCAAACCTCTCCATAACAAGTTTCAGCACCGTGGTCCAAGCCCTAGGAGCCCAAGCCAGCTGACCTGGGCCAGCTGAGGCTGTGGGCTAGGTCTGTTACTGCAGTGTGGATGCGGGGGCTGTTATTGCAGTGTGAATGCCGGGTCTGTTACTGCAGTGTGAATGCCGGGTCTGTTACTGCAGTGTGAATGCCGGGTCTGTTACTGCAGTGTGAATGCCGGGTCTGTTACTGCAGTGTGAATGCCGGGTCTGTTACTGCAGTGTGAATGCCGGGTCTGTTACTGCAGTGTGAATGCCGGGTCTGTTACTGCAGTGTGAATGCCGGGTCTGTTACTGCAGTGTGAATGCCGGGTCTGTTACTGCAGTGTGAATGCCGGGTCTGTTACTGCAGTGTGAATGCCGGGTCTGTTACTGCAGTGTGAATGCCGGGTCTGTTACTGCAGTGTGAATGCCGGGTCTGTTACTGCAGTGTGAATGCCGGGTCTGTTACTGCAGTGTGAATGCCGGGTCTGTTACTGCAGTGTGAATGCCGGGTCTGTTACTGCAGTGTGAATGCCGGGTCTGTTACTGCAGTGTGAATGCCGGGTCTGTTACTGCAGTGTGAATGCCGGGTCTGTTACTGCAGTGTGAATGCCGGGTCTGTTACTGCAGTGTGAATGCCGGGTCTGTTACTGCAGTGTGAATGCCGGGTCTGTTACTGCAGTGTGAATGCCGGGTCTGTTACTGCAGTGTGAATGCCGGGTCTGTTACTGCAGTGTGAATGCCGGGTCTGTTACTGCAGTGTGAATGCCGGGTCTGTTACTGCAGTGTGAATGCCGGGTCTGTTACTGCAGTGTGAATGCCGGGTCTGTTACTGCAGTGTGAATGCCGGGTCTGTTACTGCAGTGTGAATGCCGGGTCTGTTACTGCAGTGTGAATGCCGGGTCTGTTACTGCAGTGTGAATGCCGGGTCTGTTACTGCAGTGTGAATGCCGGGTCTGTTACTGCAGTGTGAATGCCGGGTCTGTTACTGCAGTGTGAATGCCGGGTCTGTTACTGCAGTGTGAATGCCGGGTCTGTTACTGCAGTGTGAATGCCGGGTCTGTTACTGCAGTGTGAATGCCGGGTCTGTTACTGCAGTGTGAATGCCGGGTCTGTTACTGCAGTGTGAATGCCGGGTCTGTTACTGCAGTGTGAATGCCGGGTCTGTTACTGCAGTGTGAATGCCGGGTCTGTTACTGCAGTGTGAATGCCGGGTCTGTTACTGCAGTGTGAATGCCGGGTCTGTTACTGCAGTGTGAATGCCGGGTCTGTTACTGCAGTGTGAATGCCGGGTCTGTTACTGCAGTGTGAATGCCGGGTCTGTTACTGCAGTGTGAATGCCGGGTCTGTTACTGCAGTGTGAATGCCGGGTCTGTTACTGCAGTGTGAATGCCGGGTCTGTTACTGCAGTGTGAATGCCGGGTCTGTTACTGCAGTGTGAATGCCGGGTCTGTTACTGCAGTGTGAATGCCGGGTCTGTTACTGCAGTGTGAATGCCGGGTCTGTTACTGCAGTGTGAATGCCGGGTCTGTTACTGCAGTGTGAATGCCGGGTCTGTTACTGCAGTGTGAATGCCGGGTCTGTTACTGCAGTGTGAATGCCGGGTCTGTTACTGCAGTGTGAATGCCGGGTCTGTTACTGCAGTGTGAATGCCGGGTCTGTTACTGCAGTGTGAATGCCGGGTCTGTTACTGCAGTGTGAATGCCGGGTCTGTTACTGCAGTGTGAATGCCGGGTCTGTTACTGCAGTGTGAATGCCGGGTCTGTTACTGCAGTGTGAATGCCGGGTCTGTTACTGCAGTGTGAATGCCGGGTCTGTTACTGCAGTGTGAATGCCGGGTCTGTTACTGCAGTGTGAATGCCGGGTCTGTTACTGCAGTGTGAATGCCGGGTCTGTTACTGCAGTGTGAATGCCGGGTCTGTTACTGCAGTGTGAATGCCGGGTCTGTTACTGCAGTGTGAATGCCGGGTCTGTTACTGCAGTGTGAATGCCGGGTCTGTTACTGCAGTGTGAATGCCGGGTCTGTTACTGCAGTGTGAATGCCGGGTCTGTTACTGCAGTGTGAATGCCGGGTCTGTTACTGCAGTGTGAATGCCGGGTCTGTTACTGCAGTGTGAATGCCGGGTCTGTTACTGCAGTGTGAATGCCGGGTCTGTTACTGCAGTGTGAATGCCGGGTCTGTTACTGCAGTGTGAATGCCGGGTCTGTTACTGCAGTGTGAATGCCAGGTCTGTTATTGCAGTGTGGATGCCGGGTCTGTTATTGCAGTGTGAATGCTTGGTCTGTTACTGCAGTGTGGACATGCCGCTAAAGACCTGCTATAGCTCAGCTAGACTGCTGGGCACAACGCAGGAGCCTCCAGGTGATGCTGTGCGGATCTCAGACTGGATGAGTAGAACAGTTCCTTCTAGCCTTAATGTCTATTAACCTGGCCCTGGCTCTGGGCAGCTCCCAGCATGCTAGGGCCCTGCGGCCTCAAGTGCTCCTTTAAAATGCACAGTAACATGGATGGTGAATCTGATCCACAGAGAGGAGAAGGGACTTGGCCCAGCTGGCAGGGAAGGGAACAGAACCCAGGTCTCTACAGGGCTGGAAAATGGACCAATCTGCTTTTGGCTGAGTCTTATGGAGCTAAGTCAATGGTGGGACCCACTTTCTCTATGGAGACTGGCTTGGGTGGGTGCATGGGTTAATGGGCATTCTAAATCTGCAGTTCACCCCATCTAAGTGCATGTTACATCCTGCTGTGAGACCCACAGGGCCCAATCCATCTCCCATAGTGAAGTCAGTGGGAATCAATCTCCTGGCTTTCCTTGGAGGTGGCCCAGACCCCAACACCAACACCATGTCAGCTGGAGCGAGTCTGTGCAGCATGACTGGTGGGAGGTCAGCCAGCTGATCATCGGCCCAGGAGTCAGCAAAAGAAAAAACACGAGAACAATCTGCAGGCCTGAGCAACACCGTCTGAAACACGATCCACAGCTTTATTGGAGCCAACAAGCTGATCTGGCTTTCTTTACAAAAGGATAGATTGTTTGCTCTTAGTACAAAACAAAATGGACCACTAATAATCATCCTAGGGACTGTACAAAAAGGGTCCTTTGGAGTTTGAGACATTACAAAATTCCAGCTCTATACAAATTTCCTCCTCAAAATAGTGAGGCTTCCCCACAAAGGGCTCTCGAGGCCAACAATAGCGGGGGGGGGGGGGGGTTCCAAAAAAAATTCTCCATCT